AACCCTTTTCATCCGCCAATCCATCAACCATCCAGTCATCCATCCATCCATCCATCCAATCCCTTTAATGTCATTATATATCTATCTGTAAATCTGAGGAACGGTTTGACTGGTGAAGAGTGTGCATGTGTACGATAAATCAGCAATGTGTTGCATATCCGTGCATTTAAAGTAGATAATAATTTAACAACAAGAACTCTTTATTGTGCATTTCTTGTTCGTCCTCTGTAGAGAGTGTTTTTTTTTTTAACAGTCGGAACACTCTCAAAACACATAACTGGCAGATACAGGTGTATACAACAACAAGAACATCACAACAACATAACACAAGCATGTTACTTTACGGTCAAATCTTCTGCCAAAGCGAGTTGTATTGCAGAGTAGCTGTAGTGTGTAAATGCAACCAGAGGGGTGAAGGTTGAGGCATGGGGATGGCAGAGACTGTGTGTTATGGTCAGTGCTCTGTGAGGGGTGGGGGAGTCGGAAGGCCTATTCTTTAAAAAGTCATGTTGGTGATTTGCTTGCTTCTTTCCATTAGCGAGGGTCAGTCTGGTGATATAGGTAAAGTACATTATATTTGGCTTGCGGAGAATATCACCAATACTATTATTGCATTAATAGGTGATATGGATGGGAATCAAAGATAAGATAAGATAGGACTTTATTTATCCCAATTTGGGAAATGTTTGTGTTGCGGCAGCATACAAGACGTGGCATTTTACAATAACAATTAAAAAGACTAGAAACAAACAAAAAAGTTGAAAATATACATGTTGAATTTAAAAAAACAAACAAAAATATAAAGCAAGTTATTATATATGCATAAGTATGTGAGGGATGGAATATTACATATTAAACTGAATATATAAATGTAGAATGTACAATCAAAACAGTTTTTAGGATAATCCTCTCACGTCTAATGCGCCGACACTAAAGTCCGTTATTACTGTACTTACTGACAGTCTTCTAGAAGAACTGCGCAATGTGACTTTAGGTAGCAGCTCAGTAATGACTGCTCTCTTCCATCTGGATTACATGTGGCAGAAAATCACTGATTCTTGTGCAGGTTTTTAGGGCTGAAGGCTCATTAGTTTTAATTGTACTAAACTGCCTTCTGCATGCGTAATTGCCATTCGCTGTGACCCCCATTTCCTCTTGTCAACATACTCATAACTGTCCCAGATGTCCCCCTGGTTCAATGTTCTCCACAGTTCTACATGATGTGAAAAATGAAGCTCATTAGAGTCCATAACACTTCTTGACTTGAGTCTCTTTACCTCAGCTTTTACTGTAATTCACCATCTTAACAAACAAAATGCAAAGTGTTTTTTGTCAACACCGATTGAGCCATCAGTTGATTCTTGAAAGCACACTTTTGGCTGCTGTAATTACCCGGGGAAAAGAAGGACGTGTAGCAGAACGAATGCCAGGAATGGGATTTCCCCCTGGAAGAGCGGGAAGACTTGCAGTGAGACCGTGTAAGAGGACACCGCTGTGTGCTAAAGGCGAGGACAGGGCAAGAAGTTGATTTATATCCATAAATCCATGGGAAAGGTTCTGGTTCCCTCTGTGATGTCAGTGGGTTTAAGATTGGCGTCCAGCTGTAAAGTGATCCTCTCTCTGTCTGAGCCAGTATGGCCCCACTCTACATCTTGGGGGTCAAAGGCCAGTGTGGCAGACAGAGGGAGGGGGGCGGCCTCCGTGACCCCGGTGAATACAGTTACAATGCACTCTCTTGACCTCGTCGTACAGGCAGACCCTCAGTCACACACACTGAGACATCCAGGTTGCTAACATTCTCCAGATTGGCTCGGCATGTTAAATAGCTAAGGTTATGTATGTGTATGTATGAGGTGTGCTCCAATAGAGACCGGGAGAAAACAATATCCATTATAGTTCAGGGAAATCTGGCTTAGCCGTCCAACCTCATTATCAAAATGTAAATGCATCTCGACAGGGCAGATATTACATCTACATATAAATGGAGGGCTCTTTTCTCTGAGTATAATGAGAAGCTTTTCGCTTTTGTTTTTTGACATGAATGAATTATCCCACGCTTTTGAAACATTCCTCCTACCTTCTCCTTCCTCTAATCTGAGAGGACTTAAAAAAACAAAGTAATTAAAAGTTATCCCGATATAATTTCAAACTAGCTGTCACTTTGCAGGGTCATTAAATTTTTCTTGAGAAACCTTATTAGCAGATAATTTTGGGGGATTTATGTAAAAGAAGAAAGCATATTCTTAGATGGCCACAATCATTAGAGCTTTACTGGATCCGGCAGCTGCAAAGAGGCTCTAAAAAAATATCTTATTAAAATAAATTTCAACAAATCATTATTTGAGTTCCTGATGCACATAATTAATATCAACATAAAAGTGAGTGATTCTTAAAGCTGCCAGTTCCACGCTGAGCTCTGTATTCAGTGTGCGGTAAATTCTAATGAGAAGCAGACCAATAATCTTCTCACACGTCCTAGCTGTAAAACTTAATTTTCACCTCACAATACGGCGGTCGGTGGCACACTTCACCCTTCAGACTAGTCATCCTTTTGATAGGAGTACCATTAGTAAATGAGAATTAATTAGCCAGCTTAATTAGAGAAATTTGCTCAGGGATGTGTGCGGATGAGGAAGAGGTGTAGTCAGGCTGTTCAAAAGCCTCATGTACCCTTTATTGTAGCTTCATATTAAATGTTTATCTTACTTTATTTTTTTTAATATTGTGGCCCGAACGCTCATGAACAAAATCCCATTACTTTTAATAGTCTTTCTTTATTTAAGATGTTTTTTACGGTGTTTTTATGGCCTCTATCAGTCTCTCTGTCTATATTCCTATGACATTATTGCGTCTTGTGTATTGTGCTGTGCTGAATAACATTGCAGACCTTCATGTAGTGTATTGGTTGCAGTGTAATCATGGAAATGTCATTTTGACCTCTGTGTTTATCTGTGTCCCAGCCAATCAGCTCCCTCTCACACACACACACTCTCCCTCCTAAACCTCCGCTGTGTTTTATGGATCTTTCTAAAGGAAGCTTTGTGTTTAAAGGGGGCAGGTCTTCCAGCCATCCGTCACCATCTGACTGACAGTTCAATCTGATACGCAGATTCCATTTGCTGTGCTCTACAAGCAACAATACTGATAACACACACAGATGCCCCTGCATATTTGTGTGTGTGTGTGTGTGTGTGTGTGTGTGTGTGTGTGTGTGTGTGTGTGTGTGTGTGTGTGTGTGTGTGTGTGTGTGTGTGTGTGTGTGTGTGTGTGTGTGTGTGTGTGTGTGTGTGTGTGTGTGTGTTGTCTCTCTTAAGCTGCCTCTCGGGGTTTTGTTCTCCTCAGGGCCAATTCTCTCGTCAATCTGCTGTCCGCCATGTCTCAGACTGTGCTCCAGAGAATGAAAGGGGAATGAGTTTGGCTCACTCCCATGATATTCAGCCTTTACAAAAAGTTCTTCATCTATTTAAAGCTATAGTGTTGGTAATATGGCTGACAATCAAAGCAGACATGAGTTAATTCATTGTTGAGCACATATACCGATAGCTATTCTTTAGTTTGCAGGCTGTCACTCCCTTAAGGTTAATACTTTTTTGTAGAACGATGCACTCTGTCTGTGGAAAAGACTCCGCTCTGACAGGTAAGGTTGATGGGGTGAGGTCCTCTGAGAAAAGCCACTCAACCCTTTCTAGCAGGTGAAGGAAAAAGGGTTTAATCATGGTCAAATAAAGCACTGATTGTGTTAAATCAGGGGAAGGGGAAGAATTAGTGGGGGCACTGGGAGAATGTTGAAATTGCGAAGAGCTGAGGTCAGGCGGATGGCTGAGTGGGCTACAGATACACTGAGAGATGGACTGTGTGGGAAAACCAAGATAGCAACACCCATCCTCATGCCACACTAGCAGATACATTTTTCCAGCATTTGTTAAGATCAGTGTGGGACCTGAAGAAAAAAATCATGTTCAAAGTATGTTAACCAATTTTGATATGGACCCTTAATGTACATATGGAAAGTTTGAAATGTTTGTTGCAGGATCAGAGAGTGACTGATAGCCCTGCTTTAGGTCCATCAGACACAGTGGAGATAACAGATCAAAGCTGTTACTGCTCTGTCTCCTTTCTTTCTATCAGACGACCAGACATTCCTCCACAGTCCGTTTCCCACTATCTTTTCCCGTCCTTGATAAACAAAAACACAGAAAGACGGACAGGACCGTAGTCAGTGAGATGGAAAGATCAAAAGAAACGGTGAGGAGAGGAAAGAGAGGAATTGAGAGCGAAGAAGGGAAAGAGAGAGCAATTGGCTGCGTTTTCATGTTGTGATCTGTCAGCGTTGACAGGGATGAGCAGAGCAAACATGCATCTCCCTTGTCCCCTTGGTCAGTTTCCATGGAAACGCTATTTTGTACTCTTAAACATGTACTGTATGTGCATCCTACTGGCACTGTATTCCCAGCAGCCAGCATGTGGTTCAAATGGACTTTATGAAAAAATAGAGGACTAATGATTTCTTTCATGTCGACTTATTTGCAACACGGGATCCTAATGTGACCTCCCACAGTCCAAGCATCCGACCCAGAGGAAGTGCAGACACAGATCATAGTCTTCCCCAGGTCTGAGGTTAGAGCCACAATTTACCCAGCCGCCATGCAACAGTACAATTTGGCTGTCATTTCAAGACTCGCCGCAGACCTATTACGGACAAAAGGGCAGAAGCCAAGACAACAACGGTAGGCGGTGTCATTTGGAATAATCACTTCCATGAGATGATGTTTAGGGAAATGCATCAGTGAGCTCAAGGCCAGCGAGTTCAACGTGGAGTTGAGAGGAGATGAAGGGGACCCCCTGGTGGCCAGAGCTGAAACAGCAGCGATGTGACAATGTTCATACCTTCTGTTAAATCATACTCCATAGAAATGAGTACTCTGATCCTTAACTTAATCACACCATTCAAAATGTCTTGCATCTCATCTTGCATCAAGGTTAATATGAGTAAAAGTACAGTATTATCAGCAAGATCTACTTAAAGTATCATAATAACTCATACTTAAAATGGGCCCTCTGGCTTATGAAGTGTTGTACATTACATTGTTTTATGATTTCAAATAGTATATGTTTTTTGATGACATGGAGCTCGTAGTTTAAGCGAACTATAATATATTCTGTGGTTCCTAATTTAGGGCTGACACCCCTTCCAAAGGGTCACACGCTATATCTGAATTGTAGTGAGATGATTAATTATGACCGACAAACTTGTTTTCTACTTTTCTTTTGGAAATATTGGGAGAAGGAGACCCTTATAACGTCTTCAATTATTGTAAGTACTACAGCCTTCGACATAGGCGACAAGTCAAACATTTTGAGTTAAAAACTGTATATATTTCTCTCTCGAATGTAATGGAGTTCAGGTATAGAGTACTTCATGGAGATGCAGTACTAGTACAGGGTTACTTTCTCAGTTGGAGTTAATGAAATTATTCGTCCAGTTCCATCATCATGTAACTTGCTTTTAATTCTATTATCTCTGTTTAACCATTTACAGTATCTGCAAAAGGTCCTTCGTTTTCCTGTTAGGCCCCACTTAGGAGCGTCCACAATCTCAATGAAATCTGTCGACAAGCTGTTGTCTCGTCCAGCCCAAATTGATTGATCGATGCTGTCAGCCTTTACTCTCAGTCTGATACAGGAACGCTTGGCGAGCTCACAAACTGTAAAGTGTAATGTAATGCGCTGACTGGAATACTAAGTCTAGACAGACCCATCTTTATCGACATGTTGTGAAGATCACAGTGCACGTCTGTCAGGACAGTACCTGCCATGTTCAGCCCAGGTAATTAAGCACTAGACGCAAGAGCGGCCATTAGCAGGAGCTGGAAAGACGGAGGCAGTGGCTGTGACCTTCATAAAACATTAACTCCTTTCCTCGAAGCCTCAGATCTAAAACCTTTAAGTAGCCAACGATCTCCAGCTATATCTTGCCCTATAAGTGTGGCTGTTGAGAAGCCGACAGTGGCTGTAATAGGCCTTCCCAAAGAGAAGAGTGCTATGACATCAATTATAGTGATGGATTGTGGAGGGAAATGGCTCAAACACACATGTACACACACACACACACACGACTCCATCCTCCCCCACCCTACAGTACGTTTCATTCTTTTGGCCTCCATGACCCTCTTACAGAAGAGAGAATTCACTTTCATTCGGCCTTGTGGACATTATCTCCTTTTTTTCTTCTTGTGTTAGCTTTTGTAAATTACGGTAAATGTTTTTCTGTGTCCTGATTGGCTGTGAAGCTGCTCAGTGACCTCCAGCAGTCATGTCCTGAGCACAGGTCACCCCCAGCCCCCGCTCGGCATCAAACACTTCCCTGTGAAGCTGCCAAGACAGCTTATCATGTCCACAGTTGACCGTGAGAGTTTTGGAAAGCAGGTTTAATGTTTAACTAGCAGTACCTGTGCGTGGGATTTGTGCAAGTGTGTGTGTGTGTGTTTGTACATTTGACTTTCCAATTCGGCTTATTTGCATGACTGCACATATGTTTGTGTGCAGTTAAAGAGTGTAAACTGCTGACACAGACTGCAGTGTGTTTACGGATGCCTGTGGTTGTTTGAATGTTATGGAGGAAGTTTGTGTGTATGTTGTCTCACTGGGATGTGTGCACAGTGTGAAAGGATTGATGTATGCCTCCACTGTGTGTACATGTCCTTCAGTTCGATGAGTTACACTGTGTGTGTGTGTGTGTGTGTGTGTGTGTGTGTGTGTGTGTGTGTGTGTGTGTGTGTGTGTGTGTGTGTGTGTGTGTGTTGGTGTGTGTGTGTGTGTGTCTGTCTGTGTGTCTGTGTCTGTCTGTCTGTCTGTCTGTCTGTCTGTCTGTCTGTCTGTCTGTCTGTCTGTCTGTCTGTGTGTGTGTGTGTGTGTGTGTGTGTGTGTGTGTGTGTGTGTGTGTGTGTGTGTGTGTGTGTGTGTGTGTGTGTGTGTGTGTGTGTGTGTGTATAAACCCAGTGTCCTCCAGCCTGTGCGCACTGGCTCCAAGGTGAGCGATGTCATCGTCATGGAGATAGAGGTCAAGGGGTCAACAGAGCCGTACCACGTCCTGCTGGAGCCGTACGCCGTCGTGATCCCCGGAGAGATTTTTATTTGCACGACCACATGCAGGCAGTTCAAGGTCCTTTGAGTCACTTTTTTTACCCATGTTAACTTTTAATTAAAGATGTCAGATTATAATGTAGCCATTTTGTTTCTGTGTTGTGTGAACTAGATGTGGAACCACAGCAGAACCGCCATCTTTTTCCAGTGGGAACGGATGAACAGCAGCAGCCATATAATAGAAGTACAGCCCTCTGCTGGTACAATAGGTGTGTCGGACAATTCGATGCGGGAAGTTGTAAACATTTCTGACGATTTATTGGTGCTTTATTGATAGTTTTTTCCGCCCTGTGTCCAGAGGAGAACGAGTGCTTTGATTTCGACCTGATTTTGAACGGAGGGAAACCAGAGAGGGTTGTTACCAGTCTGGTTTGCCACATAGAGCACCGCCACGAGCCCGTCACTTTGGCAGTGGAAGTCTCTTTTAAGGTGAAAACAAATGTTATCACGAAACACAAAGTTGGTTGCTGTGACTTCCTCTGTGTACAACTCACCTGTGAAGCTCATTCTTTGATGTTTTATAGGGTCCTCTAGTGACCCTGAGTGTTCCCAGTGTGGACTTTGGGCTCCTGAAGCTCGGGGAGCACACTCAGACCTCGCTGATCCTCACTAACCTCACTCAGCTGGAAGCCGGCTGGAGGCTGCAGGAGAGGCAGCACCAACACCCACAGGTACTGAACACTGGGTTAAAGAACAACATGTGCATATTTACACTTAGTCTAAAAACGTTAAAATGTACAAAACTGTATAATCTCCCTTTGCTAGATTTTAGTGGAGCCTTGCAGAGGTGTGCTTCCCCCTTTGACCTCTTGCAGTGTGGATGTGCTATTTAGTCCCACTTCCTGCCAGCGATATGAAACAGAGCTGGAGTTAACGGTGGAGAATGGAACAGGATGGTAAGGATGCATCAAGTTCACTGTTCCTCAATATGCATGATATTCAAATACAGCTGGAGATGGTGCAGATGGAGATGTAACACACTGTTGGTAACACCACCTGTGTGCTGTTGCAGCCACCTGTCAGTGCGGGCAGATGTTCAGACGCCTCAGGTGTGTCTGCTCAGCTGTGAGCTGCTCCTCTCTGAACTCTACATGGGGGTGCATGCTAGAGCCACCGTCACTCTGTTCAACCAGACGCTGCTGCCCTCTCACTTCAGCTGGATGGTACGCTGGCTTTCACACATTTTATCATGACTTCATTTGAAGTAAGAACAATTGAGGTTGTTTTAAATCATGTGGAAAAGCCCTTTGCTGTATGTGTGTGTGCAAGGAATAATTGATTCAATGTGCAAAATTGTTTGGGTACATATTATTGCACAATTTGTGATTGTAGGTAAAAAAAAAAGTAAATAATTTGGGCAGTTATGTTCCAAGAAAAATACTAAAATAACACATTTTTGAGGTCCAACTCTGAAAATGTTAATAATGGCTACGGACCAAAATAACACAACTTTCCTCGATTGCTTTCTCTCACTTTTTCTGAATCTATATTTCATTTGTTCTCGTATATTTGAGTGTTGTTCACCCGAACTCTGAAATTGTATTTTTAAATAATTTCCCCTTGTTTAACTTTTTTATTAACTTACAATGACATTTCTCAAACTACAGAATGTTTCTTAATTTTAGTCTCATTGATAAAAATGGCTGAAATTATGATATCTTCATAAAAATGATTACATTGGTGACGTGACTTTCACATTGC